GGTGGGGGTGGGGGCAAGCGCGGGCACGCGAGAAGGGGGTCGGGGAGGCGCAGGATGGAGTCGATGGACTGGAGCTGGAACGCAGAGTTCGGCGCAAGGTGAGAGTTGTTTTTATGGTGGTAGTGGCAGTGGGCAGTGAGCCAGCCTCGCAGGCTCACGGCAGGCGATGCGCTTGACGGCGCTACAGAGCGTCGTTTCAAGTGTTGTATGGTGCTTGGTCGACGAAAGGAGAAGGCTGTTCCTTCCGTATGGCTTGTCAAGGCCTTCGCGCGTGTGGCTGGTGTGCGCGTGGCGTTCCAAGCCGTACGTTGTGACGAAGGTGTAGTCTAGCGTCACCCTCTTTACCGAGTTCGTGGCTGCCTTCGGCTACAGCCGCCAACTCAGTTCGCTAGTCTGAATTGTCCCGCTTCAGAGACGCGTGCGGAAAAGGCCAAGACTGAGCACGTCGCCCGCCACAGGAAGCAACCGCCTCTGAAAAATGAAGACACATCTTCTCGGTCCTTTGGTTTATTCCCGTCGCCGCGGGCCGATCCGGTTGCTTCGTACATGGTTCTTGGACCCTCGCGCCGCCCCCCCCCGCACTTCCCCATGTCCTCCGAAACATGAGATCGATCGATAGAAAAAAATCTACCGCACGCTTGTGACATGGTACCCCAGAGAAGCAGGTAGAACCGGTAAACTTGACGAGCTGGCGACTAAGCACAGGAAAGAAGTAAAGGCGTGGGTGGTGGTCTCCGTTCCACCGGACTCGTCTCGAAAGAATTGAATGTTGTCTTGTGGTCAATCTGCAAACGATTTGTTAGAGGCAGCGACAAACGAGTAACCCCCCCCCCCCCCCCCCACCCCTTCCACGGCACCCCCCACCCCTTAAGGCACGACGTGTCCCAGGGGCGAGAGGTGTACATGTCCCTGGACGTGCTGAACCAGGTGTGGACAGCGGAAATGTCGTTCCTGCGAGACATGTACCTCCTCGACGCCGACTTCTTCCGCTTCGTGTGGGGCCTGCTGCAGCAGCCGGAGGCGGCGGGGCCGGCCACAGCCACGCTCGCCGCGCACGCTGGCACAAAGGTGTGTTGCGTCTTGTGTCTTGTGTTTTTTGTTGTCGTCGACAGCGTTTTGCCGGCAGACCAATGAGAAAGACGTCGGCGTCAGTTCGGCTATCTACGGTGGTAGCAAGCCAGCAGTAGCGACACGTATTGACCACGATCAAATGGTCAGGGCAGGTGAGCAGCCGAGCATCCCAAGGGAGGGAGGTTCCACGCGTGTGACAGCCCTAAAAAATGAAATTAACTTATACATGCAATGATGACGACTGGCGAGTACTACTGCACACACACGCACGCGTCCTTCCGTGATCCATTGGCCTGGAACTGTGACGCACCTTTGCCTGATCGCCGTGCGGAGACTGGGCCAGTTCCACGGGTCGGCAGTGTTGTATTTCCTAACAGTACGCCACACATGCACCTTCCACGTTGAACACGCACACACCGAGAAGCATTACATATCTGTTTGAAACCCAAGACCACGTGTCGACGGTGTCGTGAATGTTTCAACTCGACCGTCATCGCTCTCTCGCATTCGCATTATTTCAAGTACACGCTGCAGACACTAGTAGTGGAGGTGGGGCTTGCTTTTCCCCCTCTGACTTCTCTCGAATCAATATCTGGGGAGATGAAGGTGGAAACCACCGTGCGCATGAGATATTGCACGCAGCAAGCCCGACGTCCCTGCTCACTCATGCAACGACTCATGTCGAAACCCCATCCACTCCCCGCACCGACGCCATCCCCGCGCTTGCACGTCAACGCCAACGCTCGGGTGCGGTACGCGATAAATAAAGGTTGCCGTGGAGATGGTCGCGCACGCGAGGGCGAGCTCCTGCGTCGCTCCGTGGTGCAAGCGTCTCTCGCAGCTGGCGCGGGCTCACCAGCACGCGGCGGACAACGTGCTGGCCCTCCTTGCCGTCGGTCGAAGGAACGGCTCCAACGTGAGAGCTAGAGCTACGGTCGTGGGGATGTAGCATAGCAACAACAACAACAAGAAGGCGCACGATGCGTTGTTGTGTTTTGAAGAAGTAGTAGTCGGGTGCTGACAGCAATGACGGGAACAATGGCTTCGTCCAATTCCCGCGGGTGTTGGTCGGCAGCTAAGGGATGGAGCCCGCTTGCCCCGCCGCGAAAACCGTCTTGAGGCCTTGTCGGCCGGGGTTGTAAATAGAAATAGCGCTTGGGAGTGTTTTTGTTCGCGTTCAAACCGCCGAGCGTATGGTATTGTGGAGGTCTGACGTGTCGACCGACCGGATTCGTCGTACGACGGGTGCTTACCCGCCGCCACTGCCGCCTCCGCCGCCGCTGGGGGACGCTGCTGCAAGTCGCGGGTCATACTGTAGTGTTTGGTAATTGTTTGTGTGTTTCGCTCCCCGTCCCCGCTCCCCCTCTGCCGTCGGCGTGCTCCGTCCCGGCTTTGTAGGGATGCGAGGTCAATGGTCTAACGACTACGGCATGCACGACTATGAGAACCCCCCCCCCCCCACCCCC